TCACTAGGTGGGGGAACTTGAAAAAAAAAAGTATTATTAATCTTTTCAAAGTATACTTTGTATAAAACAATGCTCAATAAAGTATGCATTGAGCATATAATGTCTAAGTTTTATTTCAATAAGTATAGCATGAGCAAAACAACCCAAGCATCCAAAAATAGATGACTTGATCAAGAAGATATCATATATATACACAATGGAAGACTATTCAGAAAAAAATAAAAAGATAATCTAATGCCATTCAGGGCAGCATGGATAGAGTTAGAAGGGATTATTTTCAGTGAAACAAGTCAGAAAGTAAAGGAAAAATATAGGATAGTTTCACTTATACAAGTAATATAGGGAAACCAAATAAGTGATCAGGGAAAAAATATAAAAACTTCAAAAATACAACAAAACTAAACAAAAAAATCAGACAACTATAAACCAGAGACATTCTTCTGGGGAAGGGAGAAGAGGAGTATACAAAATGAAGGCAGGAAGAGCACAAGGGACTAAGTTATGGTGCCAGGTGAATTGATGGTGGAAATTCTATGGGCACCACACCAGAGGCAAAATAAATACAAGTAAAGAAATTAAATATAAAAATTATATTTTAGTACCTCAAAAAATAATAAAAGAGTTCAAAAGGTGGGGGGTGGATACACTGGACTGTGGTGATGGTACACAGGTGATTTGGTGATGGGAAGCCCACAGGAATTACAACTGAGATGGAAAAGGCATAAAATGATGTAAAAATAAGCTATTATATTATAAAAAATAAATAAAAGAGCTATGTGGCTTGGCAATATGTACCTCATGTTAAAAATGTCTGTGTATGGGCCCTCCCTGGTGGCGCAGCGGGTTAAAGCACAGCACTGAGAATCTAAAGCCGCTTCCGCATGAGTTCGATTCCCGCCTGCCCCGGAGGTGACCACATGGCATGGCAGACCTCTCCTGACCCGCCCGCTGCTCCCCTCAGAAGTGTACTTCGTCGATCTGCCTGTTCTGCTCCCTAATCTGTCTCTGGTGAAGCCTCTCACCACCCCTGAGCCTCTGGCCTGTACCCCAGTTCTGTATGCACAAATAAATAAATCTTTAAAAAAAAAAGTCTGTGTACTTTGCCAAGGCAGCAATGCCTAGACATCTTATATACCTCAGTTGCCATCTTGAAAAACACAGTAATGACATTTTTGTCTGATTTCTACCTACTGCAGGAAGTACAGAGAGGATAATGCTCATTAAAACTATGAACTCCTTTAAGGAGCAAATAAATACTGCTGCTATTGTGTTAGCAGCCCTGACACTGCCTGTGGCTTTAAAAATATAGTTTTATGGGGGGATGAAGTTCCCTATTACCAAGATACTGTATCACTCCATCTAGGAAACTAGCTCAACAAATGCTGAAAAGCCTGGCCACTAACTACAAATCAATTAGAAGGTATTGGCTCCTCTCCCAACTAGTACTGTATCACTTGAACAACATTAGATCGATTTGATCCTTATCTTAAGGAGTAGTCAATGAGAAATACTTATGCCTAGAAGGCTCCAGGAAACATTTTCAGAAATCATTTGGAAGAGGGAGCAAGGCTACATCATCTGGAGCCCTATTGCCTGAATTCCTAGTAGTCAACCAGTGGCTAATGCCAAGGATACTCACCTAGTAAGTTCATTATAGCAGTCACTTGTCCATTTTCCAGGAGAGAAGTTATAATCTCCCAACTTGCACAAGTATACCCCAGTCTCTTCTAGAAAGTCTTGTTACATGTATTTAATTTAGGACTGTTAGCAGTTTTTTTATTGGTGAAAGGACTTTTTAACAATTAAAAAATGAAAGTTAAAACAATGTCAAGCTAACAACATATTATTCAACTAAGAAGAAAAAGAAGGAGGAAAGTATTTTGCTAGGAGGTATGGCAAAAGGAGAAGGCAGATCCCATTTTCTGTGTCCACTTGTCTCAGCATTCACTTGTTGAATAAAAGAGTATCAACCAATTTTTTTATACTTGATCTTAGCCAAAAGGTCAAGAAGTGATTCAACCACTTTTTAATAAATATTTTAAAAACGCCTACTTTGCACTAAGTATTACATTCACTTTTAGGCTTATAACATTATTCCCACTGTCAAAGACTGTAATGAAGAAAATTTGGAAGGAACATTAAATTAATAGCGCCTACTCTGTGCCAAGTGCTTTTCCTGTTGAATACTTATAACAAGAGAAGAGTAATCAAGACTCTTCTCATAAAATGAATGTGAACCAAGGCTCAATATTTTTCCAGAGTTACACAGTTGAGTAGACTGTTATTTGTATTCACAAATTGGTTCAAGTCCAGAATCTCGTTAAAAATTTCTTTAGAAAGAAAGGAGAAATCACTCACTATTCAACCACCATGATAAAACAAACAAACAAACAAAAAAAAACTACTAATGTTTTAGAGGCTTTGCTTCTAATTTTTCTTTTACATGTAGGTTAATTTTTTTTTTAAGATTTATTTATTTGTGCATACAGAACTGGGTATAGGTGCAGGGGCAGTGAGAGGAATCGCCAGACAGAGTGGGGAGCAGAACAGGCAGATCAACGAAGTACATTGCTGAGGGGAGCAGCAGGCTGGTCAGGAGAGGTCTGCCACGCCATGTGGTCACCTTCAGGGCAGGCTGGGACTGAACTCATGCGGAAGTGGCTTTAGCTTCTTAGTGCTGTGCTTAGCCCACTGCACCACCAGGGTGGGCCCCTACACGTAGGTTAATTTTTAAAGTGTGTTTAAAAGTTATAATCAGAGCATGTTATCTGCATTTCATTGGAACTATGACAGCATTATCTGTGAAATTTCCTATTACTCTATATAGCATCAGAAGGAAAAATTATTGCCAGTTAGATGATGCTGTTGACTGAGAAATATTAAGATTTCAAAGATGCTAATATGCATAGGTAAAATAATGTATCTTAGAATCAATGACCTATTCTGCTTTCCACAAACTCATGTCATCTAGCTTCTACTTGTGAGTGGCTTTCTAGCACCAGGGACCTGGATCTCCCCATAATAGACAAACTCTTTGAGTTAGGGGTCCCAACTACACACTTCATACATAGCAGGCCCTCATGAAAATTTCTTGGTTGAATAAAAATGTAACTGAACTTGAAATGTACTGACAGAAAAGGGTTAAAAAAAATTAACCATGTATTGAAAGAATGGCAGAAAAACTAACCTTTGTTGTATAGAAAAAGAGGTTTGTGTGGCTATACTCCAGGACCAGGGAAACATGATGAATGGAACCTTAAGCTTGAGCCAGTGGTCTTGAGATTTTTTTTTTAAAGATTTATTTATTCTTACAGAACTGGGGTACAGGTCAGAGATGTGGAGGGTGAGAGGATTCACCAGACGCAGAGTGGGGAGCAGAACAGGCAGATCGATGAAGTACACTGCTGAGGGGAGCAGCGGGCGGGTCAGGAGAGGTCTACCTCACCATGTGGATCACCTCCGGGGAAGGCGGGAATCGAATTCATGTGGAAGTGGTTTAAGCTTCTTTGTGCTGTGCTTTAACCCTTTGCACCACCAGGGAGGGCCCGGTCTTGAGATTTTTAAGGGGAAACCTCAAAAGCTGCACAATCTTCACATTGTCTACCTACTCTTTGCCTGTCTCAGTTCCTACTAAGCCTAACTCTGTAGCAATGAATGAATCTATCATTTGAGAAATTGTTCACATTTACTTTGAATACCCATTTAGATTTGATACAGATACCAAACATAGAAATCAGGAGCAATTTAATTCTAGAGCAAATTTAGAAATTAGGGAGAGAGAGATGAAGGAAAATTCTATTTTTTCAGAAGAAGCTAAAGTATTCAGTCTAAATGGACAGTAACCCTTCTTCTTACATAGTTTTCATGGACCAGGAAGTAAAAGTTTATACATATGTATATGTTATGACATATTTATATATGCTATGTAGTTAGATAGATATTGATAAATAGATGTTATATGTATATATAAGATTTGCCTAAGTTGGAAAAATAGGTTTAAATAAAATACACTAAATCAGAGTCAGTTCTCCATGCATGCTATGAGAAATACAAGATCTGCACAAAATGAAAATAGCAGTCTTTTGCCCATGCATGCCTTTTCTCTCATAGGCCTTTGCCTCCATTCTCTTATATAGATTTTCTCCATCCTTCAAGGCCTAGATGAAATGACAATCTTTTCTGAAGCCTTTCCTGATCTTAGTCTAGCTTAAATCTCTCCTAGCTTTTTCCTTGCATTCCTACCTTTCTTTTCTTCTGTATTCTTTTCTTCTACTTTATCAAGTACCCACATGTCTTTAAAACATGTGGAGACTGTACTAAGTTCTCCAAGAAAAATAATAAGGATCCAAGAAATTCTGCCCTCTGAGAGGTTACACATTTATAGTGAGACAAGTTTTACTCAGTAAACATAGTTACTATCAGAAAGAAATATATATAAAAATTTAAAGCTAGGAGAGATTTAAGCTAGACTGAGAGATCAGGAAAGGCTTCAGAGAAGACTGTCATTTCATCTAGGCCTTGAAGGATGGAGAAAATCTACATAAGAAAATGGAGGCAAAGGCCTATAAGAGAAAAGGCACGCATGGGCAAAAGACTGCTATTTATTTAGGAAACAAGATGCTGTTTTCAGGGGCCATCCAGGAGACATTAAAGAACTACAACTGAGGGGAGAAATAAAATATTGCACAAAATGAGCAATGATATATGAAAACAAAATAAAATAGAATCAAATAAAACAGAACTAGAACATTGAATGGATCATCATCTTCGGCTGACCACTTTGGGGCGTCATAAGTCGTACTATTATGGAGCCAATACAGGGAAAAACTGTACAGTTTATACCAATTAAGTGTGAAATTTTAGAGGAAAGTCATAAAAGTAATAGCTTGAGGTATAAAGCAGAAAATATGAATACACAACTGGTAACTAAGATACCTGATTAATAAAACAACAGTGTAACATCGTTTTGAAACTCAGGGGACTGACAGTTCTTTACTTACCGTGGACATGGATTCCATTTGGTTGAAAAGAATTGTTTGCTTCTAGCTGATAAGACTTCAGGTGTGATCCTGATGGCTGCTGGTTATGGGGAGGCTGTGTTCTCTGCATTAGTGAAGAAGGAGGTGGAACTCTCTGGGGGCTGATGTGGTGAGGAGATGAAGCAGAAGGTGCAAACCTGAGAAAAACAATTATAAAAGGAAACATGAGATATGCAAAAGAACAGGAGCAAGACAAACTCTTCAAAGTCAAATTCTAATTTCCACTCTGGAAAAGTCCTTTAAGAAAAACAAAATCAAAACTTTAAGACTTTTCTTTCCCATTAACAGCCACTGAGTTCTCAATTGAGATGTTGAGGGACCAGATCAACAAAAACGAAATTTAGTCTGAATTTGAATTTGTTGAGCTTCTTAAAATGCATTTTAAATTCTGTGGGCCTGATGAAATTCAAAGTTTATTTTTTTTCTCAGATCCCCTTTCTGCTAATTTTTAGCTTTGTTTGCATTTTGTTCTGTAATACATATCTGAGGTCCAAGAAGTGTTATAAGTCTTTTTAGATGCCACTCTAATTCTCTTTCCTTTAAATTATATACATTTGCTTGAATAAATTCAACCTCAAAAGTTTGATGTTTGAAACCCAGAGCCCATCTACACGGATTCTATACTTGACAAAAAAAAAAAAAAAATTATCCAGGATATAATCATCTTTTGCCATCACATATGACAATTATGGTCAGATAACTGACAGTTTCTGAGGGGTGTATGTGCATTTTAAATACTGTACTATTGTCCACTAACCTACAGTATAAAATAGGTAATTACCTATTGATAATCTGACTGTAAAAGAGTTATCAAATCTAATTTTCACAAGCTTGATAAGGTTTTACTGAGGAAATGTTGAGTTACAACATTATATAGTCACACTATATAAGCATAGCATTCCAATTTGACACCTGTATCCTCTACACAATGATCCCCAAAGCCCGCTTTCCATTTGTCACCATATGGTTCAACCTCTTCATTCATTTCATCCACCCTCCAACCCTCTTGTCTTCTGGATATCTCCAGTCTGTTCTCTATATTTAAGAGCTTGTGCTGTTTTGTTTTGTTTTGATTTGATATATTTCTTAATCTTCCACATATGAGTAAAATCATATGGTGTTTGTGTTCTCTTTCTGACTTATTTTATGTAGTATAATCTCTTCAAGGTCCATCCATATGTCCCCAATAGCAAGATTTCATAGTGGTTTATGTGTGTGTGTGTGTACATGCATATAAAGCCAAGTAGTATTTCATTGTGCGTGCATACACTCACACACACACACAAACTTTATCCCTCTTCTATCAAGGAGACAGAAGACATATAAGTTGTGTCATATCTTGGCTTTCAATTAATTCTGTAATTGTGAATAATGCTATAATCAACATCTAGGTGTACATATCTTTTTGAATTAGCTTTTTCATATGTTTTGAGTAATACACAGAAGCGGGAATAACCTCATAAATAGGCTCTGGAAAATTCAACTTAAAGAAAAATGATGCATAACAAAAGTAAATTCTCTAGCAACATGTTGTCATTCAACATACTTTAGGATTCTTTTCTCATCCATGTTACAACAAATTAAGTTGAATGAAACATTATTCCAGGACCTACTGTAGTTGTCCAGACACATGTTGTTTAACCTCTACATATCTGTTTTTCTAGTTCTTCCTGTTACTCATTTTTTATTTCATCCCATTATTATCAGAAAACATGGTTGGTATGATTTCATTCTTTAAATGTATTGAGAATTTATGACCCAACATATAGTCTATCTAGAGAAAATTCCATGTACCCTTGAGAAGACTGTACTCAGTTTTGCATGGCATGGTCTATATATATATTAAATCCATGTAGTCCAATATGTCATTAAAAGACCAATGTTTCCTCCCTGATTTTCTATATGGATGATTTATTCATTGGGGAAAGTGGGGTGTTAAAATTCCCTATTACAGTGTTGTCAATGTCTTCATGTTTGTTAATATTTTCTTTATATATCTGATGATCTTGTGCTGGGTGCAAGCAACATTCCTTTTGGATTAACAACCTTTTCATTATATAATGTCCACTTTTGTTTTTATTACATTCTTGTGCTACTGTTTCTTTTGTCTAGAGTATTGTTATTCATGTTTTCTATTCATTTCTATTGTCACTGAGTATATTTTTCTAGCCCACTTTTTTTTAGTTTATATGTGTGTCCTTATATCTAAAGTGGATCTCTTGTAGATAAACTACAGATTTTTAAAATAATCTATTCAGTCATGTATAATCTCATGGGAGAGTGTAGCCCATTTACATTTAAGGTGATTATTGATAGGTATGTAGTCATTGCCTTTTTAAAAACTTGTTTTACAACTGTTTTCACAGTTTCTTCCTGTTCTTTTTCTCTTTTCTTAAAATTTGATGACTATTTTGCATTATGTTTGGTTTCTCTTTGCATTTCTTTTTTGTTTCTATTATGTATTTTGTTTGTTTGAGACTCCCATAAGGCTCACATATAATATCCCATATGGGACCACCCTAGTGGTCTAGGGATTAAGTCTCAGGGTTATCACCTCAATGGCTCTCTGTGGTGGCCTGAGTTGAATCCTCAGTCAGGGACCTAAACCACATGGTACAGCAGACATTTCCTGTTTTATGTGCTGCTCCCCTCAGCAGTGCATTTCAGTAGTTGTCCCAGTTCTGCTTCCCACTTTTTCTCTGGTGTATACTCTCACCCACCCAGCACCGCATTTCTGGCCTACATCCCAGTTCTTCTATACAAAAATAAATAAATAAAATCTTTTAAAAATAGTATAACCTGTATGTATTAATTCTATTTTTAATTGACAATAGGCTAATTTTGAAGTTATTTTAACACTGTATAATTTTACTCTCTCTCCCCTGTCCTGTGTAATGATTTTTATCTCCCTTTTTCTTTTCTCTACTTTATGTATCCCTTCACTGATTGTGTTGGTATATATTTATAATGTTAATTTTCCTTCTAACTTTCATGCTAGCTTTATGTGTAATTTATTACCTATAATTTTACTGTTATTCCTCTCAGTAATGTCTTATAAGACCCTTAAATTATCATCACTTTTAAAAATCTGCTTTGCAGCTCTGTTTGGATGAATTTTTTTTTAAAGATTTATTTATTTGTGCATATAGAACTGGGGTACAGGCCAGAGGTGCAGGGGTGGTGAGAGGATTCACCAGAGACAGAATGGGGAGAAGAACAAGCAAACTGACAAAGTACACTGATGAGTAGAGCAGCAGGTAGGTCAGGAGAGATCTGCTGGACCATGTGGTCACCTCCAGGGCAGACGGGGATCGAACTTATATGGAAGTGGCTTTGGCTTCTTAGTGCTGTGCTTTAACCCCACCAGGGAGGGCACTGCTTGGATGATTTTTACTACTCTTTCTTCCAGACCACTGATTTGATCTCTTGTTTCATCTAATCTGTATTTGAGTTCATCTATTGTATTTTGCAGTTCATTTATTAGTTTTTTTAACTTTGTGGCTTTGGTTGAAACCTCATGTTTTTTCCTTGTTGCACTTCCTTGTTCATCCTTTATTCTCCCAAGTTCCAGAAGCATCCTTATGACCATTACCTTGAAATCTTCATCAGGTAATTTACTTATCTCCGGTTAATTAATGTGCTTTTTTTTTTTTTCTCTCCCCTGGAGATTTACATTGTTCTTTCACTTGGGTCCAATTTCTCTTACTCCTCATTTTGTCTGACCCTCTTCGTTTATTTCTGTTTGTTAGGGCAAACAGCTATCTCTGCCAATCTTGAAGGACTGGCCTTGGGTTTAAAAATAATCTTACTATTTAACCTTGCTCCAGTTCTTGGTTTCCTCTCAATATTTGTGATTATCTGTCAAGTCTATTTCTTTTTTCTGTAATAGTTCCAGTTGCTAAGAGTGGCAGGAGTCATTTTCCAGTTGTTTTCAGTTTGGGTTCAGTTTGGATGATCCCCCTGATCACCTGAATCATGTACAATACAGAATCCAATGAATCCAATGTAATATGCTTTATGTTCTTATAAGCCTATCCAGTAATATCTGGGTCACTGGGGTTGCAGCTGCTGGACTAAACTGGTTTCACAGGTAGGCTCAAGGTGTTTTGTCCTGTAGTCCTATTGATTGAAAGGGATCTTACAGTTACAGCACCCACAAATGCCTGTGCTAGATGGATAAATGGGAAACATAGGATGGCATCTTCCAGCCTTTCTGTTTCTAAAGAGATTGCCCACCACTGATGATTTAACTCAAATAAATTAATAACTTTCACATGTGATCTAGGCATCTTTTAAACTAATTTTGCACTGGGTTCTGGGGTCAATGGGTATGATTTCAGCCTTTATGAATAGAGTCTCTGTTACCCACAGATCTATGGTTTTTATTAAGGTAAATTCCTCTGTTTCCCATAGCTAGATATTTTGAGGACTTGCCTCTAGTGCAAATCTCAGGAGTTGGGCTACCAAATGTGAGGCAAAAACGCTTTGCTTCCCTGAGAGTAGCTCCATTTTTACGATATTCCTCCCTACTGTGGATTACAGTATATGGGGGGGGGGGGTGTACCCAATGAGACCATGTCTCATTTCTCCTACTCTTCTTGAGGGTGGCTTTTACTTTTTGTTGTGGACAGATACTGTTCCTAATTTTTATTTCTGTTTCTAAGAGCACTGTTTCATATGTAGTTGTAGATATATCTATGGGCAGAGGTGAGTTTGAGATCTCAGTACTCCATCTTACACCCACCTCTCAAATTTATGGTGACATTTATACTTTCTATCAGTGAAGGTGGGGGGGGTTACTTGTGAAAATTTGTCAATTTCATAAATAACACTTGAGTTGCCAGTCAAAAGTGATGGTCACAAGTGTCGTAGAGAAAGAAGCATGTGTTAAACATAGTTAAATAATTTGGGAAAGAGGGGAACTATATTAGCAATGAACTGTTCTCCCAAAAAAAGAAGCTCAGAAAATTGATAACTTTCAATCAGCTGTTTTCTACATTGTGAAGAAAGACAGTAATGTGAAGTACTTTGAAACATTATAAACCAGATTATTTAGGAAAGCAGAGCTTTCACTTTTGTACTGCAATAGTAAGAAACCCTGGGATAAAATTCTACTCTCTTCATATTTCACTCTTGC